TACCTTTCAACTACAATTGAGAGATCCCTTGGCTACTTTCTTCACTTATATACCAAAAAATACCGATCAACGGCAATTTTTTCATCAAACATGAATCTCCATCAATATAGAAAAACAATTGTCAAGGTTGACGACAAACATATTCCACCAAAAAAATTAATTATTAATTATATTTGAAATATTTTGAAGTTTTAAATCACATAATATCAACGCTACTAAAGCTATATTATTAAAAAAAATTGAAAAAATTAATAAAATTAAAATTATTATAACGTTTTTAAAAGAAAAACAAATATAACTGAATGCACCCTTAACTTATAAAGAATAATTTAGTGAGAAAATAAATTAAATTAATTAAAATTGACAATATTATTAAAGAAAATAATAGTGATCTTTTTTACGGGAACAAAATGAAAAATAAAATAAAAAAAACAGAGATAGAAAGCGAAAGAGTAAATAATTTTTCTTGTTTTTCCAAGGAATATGGGCGTCCTCTGAAAACTCCAATGGTGATAGCGAAACCGTGGCTGGTTTCTCAGTCAACTCAGGTTGATTCTAGGGCCACAAAGAAAGTGCGGTTCAAAGGAAAAACAGATGATTTTTCAAGACACGTGAAAGAGGCAGCAGATCAAGTAATCCCGGGAATGTCCTACGCAGCGGTGTTGGCGGGGAGAACTCAAGATGGCTCTAAGGACGGTATTCCCTTAGGAACGCCTGAGGAGGAGATCGACTTGGCGGATGATATCATTTCGGGACTCATCTGGGATTCCGTCTATCCAATTTACTGATCGGGCTTATAAACTCATGCAAGCAACCATGTCCAATACTGTGATCCTCAAGTTGTTGGGAAGAAATATAGGTCTCAGCGCCCTCAACAACAAAACGTACTCTTTGGAAACCCACCCAACACTTCACGCTTATGGATTTGGAAAATGGATATTTCCTCGCACGTTTCCTATCGGAGGATTACATCAAAGTGTTAGCCGAAGTACCATGGATCTATGGCCAATACTTAACGGTGCAACCTTGGACTATGGATTTTAGCACGTCCTAACCTACCCACGACGGTAATTGTCTGGATTCGTTTTGGACTACCAAATACTTGTACAATAAAAGAATTCTTAACAGTATTGGTAGTTTAGTAGGAAAGTGTCTAAATTGGACTTCCAAAAAGACACTAGTAACAGAAGGAAGTTCGCTAGAGTGGTCGTCTACGTTGATCTCACGAGACCCCTGATCTCTAAGGTGGTGGTGGGGAATAAGGTTCGGGTGATCGAGTATAAAAACCTCCACTCATCTGTTTTGGTTGTGGTCGTTTTGGACTCTCAAGGAGGCCTGCAGTTTCCACCGCAATAGCCATGATTATGCTAATGTCGGTCATACCAATTCCCCTAACACTGTTCAAACTATAGATGGTATGAACACTGAGACCCTGGGTGTGACTATAGACACTGTCAACAAGGAGTCGGATAATAAGGATTCTTCCTTATGGCCCTTGGATGGTAGTCGATAGGAGACGACGGAAGAATCCCACTGGAACGGTCAAGAAACCGGAGCAGAATAGGATAGCTAAAAATCCGGGATCTCGATTTGCAGTCTTAAACAGGGCTGATCATTCTATTGGAAAATTGCCTATACAAAATGAGGAGGATCTGGAAAAACAAATCAAAACTGCTCCTGTTGCTCAATATCCCAAAATTATTGATAGAAATGGAGCACTGCTAGTCAAAATCAGACTATGCTCATTAATAACCCAAGGCAAATTAAGCAGGTTCCTACATCCAATGGTAATCAAGGTCGTGATTCCCTTATTAGAGGAAAGTCCAAAGCTGTTCAAATAATCTCTAAGGAGGCATCAATCACGTCTTTGGGTCTCACGATTCAAAATAGCTATAATCAGGTTAGTATGTTTCTAACTCTCAACCTATAACGACTGACCATGTAATTATTCCCATGCAGGAGAACCACTTGCTCGATGCCATGCAACCCATAACTCCCGAGGAAAACGCTGGCCCGTCGAATACTGAAATGGTGCAACTAAATGTTCTAGCTTCATCACCAATACAAATCCAATATTTGACAATTCCCTCGGGCTTCAGGGTCAACAGTCGGCTACTTCCATAAACCTTCAACTCATACATCTATGATCTTAAGGAAGGACAGAGAGCTAGCATTCAAAATGACCGGTCTACGCCTAATAACCGACGAGCTCCATCCTCGAGAAGCAGAGTGGCTCCGTATGTTATTCGAAATAAGGGAATTAAAATCAAAGGCCAACCCCAGTCTCGCCCTTGTCAAAGATGCTATGAACAATGTCTTACAAAGCATCCAAGGACAAATTCAAGCCAACCGGGATGATGTGGAGCAGAATGTCGTTGTTCAGAACAACGTTCAATAAGGTCCGTTCGTTTCTCTTTCTTTATGGATTTTAATTTAATGGCTTGGAATTGTCAGGGATGCGGAAATCCTCGTTTTCTTAGAACCCTTAAAAGTATACGCATGAGCATAAACCCCATATGTTGGCCTTGGTTGAAACCCGCATTAGTGATCTCAAGCTGATAAGGTCATGATTGTACTGGTTATGCTAAGTCCTACGGAGTTGAAGAACTGGGTTTTCTGGTGGTTGGCTGTTTTTGAATGACACCATCTCAGTCTTTATAATGGCGGCTCATCCCCAGTTTATTCACACTAAAGTCACGGTTGGCATACCGGCCAAACACTTCTTTGTTACGGTGGTTTAGGGTAACCCGGAAAAGAAGAAACAGAAAGCTCTCTGGAAAGATCTTAATGATGTTCATAATAACTGCAATTTGAACGGAACCGTCGTGGTCTTTCGTTGGACCCATGGATTGGGGAGGAAACGGTAACTCATATTCTATGGTGACACGTGACAACGTCTGGTTGAAGAAAAAGTAATTAAATAAATTTAATATATATATATATATATATATAAACTTTCTATAAAATGATGTGTCACAATCTAGTTAGATGACTAAATTTATTTAACTAAATTAAATTTAAGACTAAATTAATAGAATATATAAATATTGAAGACCAAATATATAATTATACCAGATTTATTAACTGCCACATCATCAAGTCTGTTAAATATTATCGTCAGGTGGCTTAATTGAATACAATTAAATAGTTTAATAGTCTGGTTGACAAAATTGAAAGATCAATGATAAAAGTAAAAGAGTTAAATAGTTAAATAGTCAATGTTTAGTTTACTTTTTTTAAATTTAGTGAGGAAAATATACAAAACTTAAACGAAAGTGATAAATTTTGTAATTTACACTAAAAGAAATCAAATATATAAAACTATTTAAATCTGCATTATCCATTATATTATTCAGTAGATGTATAGATGGACAAAATCGAAGAATAATCCTCTGACTTTGAATATTACTACTCAAAAATGTAATTTGATAAATCAATACAAAGCAGGATCAAGTTAACCTGACATGGAAGAATACATAAGGAGAGAAAATGTGGTGAAAATATGTGGCAGAGAGATGGGATGATCTAAAAGTGTAATTTTCATGGAGTTGAAGCAAACAACAAGATTTGTTCCGACATCATTATGCTTATGGGGTTTATCTAGGGATTTAAATTACGGTTGTAATCGTATTTTTTTTTCTTTTATCATAATTACGAAATTAACGGACACTATTATCATTGTGGGTATCATGGTCATGCAATAACGTTTCGAACGGGACCGTTACCGTTATATAATGACTGCTATTTAAATTTTGGATTCATCTATTTGAATTGATGCATGCCTGGATTTCTTCTCGGCTTTTGCCTTTGGTTTCTGGAAAAAAATTTGCTACGTATAGGATGGTCAATAGAGAGAATCCGGAGTAGATGTAAAACGTGCCATAGGAACTCCATGTCATTAGAAAGTTGAATGTGTAAGACACTGCCCATGCACCTTACCAATTCACCAGCACCACCAAGCTGCCTGCCGCTCCCTTTACGTTTATTGGGAATATCGGTCATCCATTTCAATATTAACTTCAAGTTCAAAGAAGAAAAATTGAGATTTCTAGCTTAGAGCTTTAACCCTCACCTCAGGCATTATCACCATGGTCCTGCTCCCATTCCAATTGAGAATAATCCAATATATATATATATATATATCTGATTTCAATTGGGAAAATAATATGAAAATTAAGTGAAAAAGTTTTATAACTATTAGTATTCGGTCTATTTGTCGATTATTTTGGATCAAATACGATATAAGTTCATCATCGGAATGATTTTGAGTCGACTGCTTTGGATTTGATATTATAGAGGTTCATTGTGGGACAACCCTCACAATTTTTGGTTTATTCCATTTAAATCCACACCAATTTAAATCAATGACCTTATTTAAAGAACATAGTGTTTCAACTCGTTAGAATCAGTTGATTACATTTATGTATGTATAGAAGAAGGCAACCATGTATGGCTATATTATTATGCATTACTTACAAGGACTCCGACAACAGCTATTATTGGCCTCCATTCAGGGTAAAGGTCATGTTTCATAATTTGGAGGTCTCTTACGGAAGTTACTCTCAACCTAGTGTTGGGGGCAGCCTACTATCTTACCCCCCTTACCCCCATTACATATAGGAATATAGGAATAAGGGACAGCCATTTTTATATATATATGGAGATCATGAAACTGAACTATGACTCTAAATTTATTCCACTGACACAAATACTATGAATTACCTTGAAAAAAATGAAGAGCCAGCCAGAAAACAGCCAAGAAATGTGCCACTTGCTGAAAGCTGAAAAACAAAATTCTTATCCCAAAATTTCCCATGAAAATCCAAGAGGTAAACTGGAAAAGAAAATTTTCTGGGGACTGATTTTACCATTATGAGTGGTCTTCTTCCTGATTTGTCCATTAGCATTGTTCCATAATAATTATAGCCAGGGACCTAAGGAATTCGTTATACGAAGTACTAATAAGTTAACAAAGAATATATATATGTTGATTTTTTTTATCAGAATGTCAGACATGAAGAACACAAGCATAAGCTATGGTTCCGGTTTTTCCTGAAGAAAGCCCTGAATTTTTTATTTTTTATTTTATATTTTATAAAGTTTTATCATTGTGAAAGTTGGTATCCCACACATATGAAATCAAAAAACGATTATTTACCGGCTAATGCAAAGGTTTCACTTGCATAGAAGCTTATTCCATTAATTCCTCCAAACTACGTGTGACTCGGCCGATTTGGATATAGTTGCCCCCTTATTATCCTTTAAAATACAAGTCAATGATTTTAATCATACGTAGTTTCCTGACGGAAGTGAAGGTGCGAGACCTGTTCTGACACAATATTCAGAATCCTTTAACAAGCAAGATTTTTTTATTTTAGGCCAACAAATATGTAAAATCAATTTAATAGAGAAAATAACCTCTCAGTGACCAAAAATCTCAGATAATATACGATTTTGATCAACTTTTTTTGGATTTGCGAAAATGACCAACAAAATCGCAATGCGATCTCTAATTCGCATTGCGATCTCCACTATCGTAAATTCGCGTTGCATTTCGCGTTGCGATAGTTAAAAATCGCGTTGCGATTTTTCATTTCGCGTTGCGATTTTCCATTTCGCGTTGCGATAGTTGAAAATCGCGTTGCGATTTTCCATTTCGCGTTGCGATAGTTGAAAATCGCGTTGCGGTTTTCCATTTCCCGTTGCGATTTTCCATTTCGCATTGCGATAGTCTACAGTTGTCGTTGCGATTTAGTTAAAAAAAAGATTTTGTTTCTTAAGAATTTTCTCTAAAAAGATAGTATCCGCGCGGACGTGTCGAAGACACGTATTACCACGACCACGACCACGAGACGAGACGAGACGAGACGAGACGGACGGCGGCGGCGCGCGAGAGTCCCTCTTGTTCTCTATCACTCGACAAGGAAGTGGGAAAGCCAAGCCTTAAATACCATTCCCAATAGTGTTTCCAATACTATGTGGGATTTGAGCATTACCAACACTTGTTCCCAATACTATGTGGGATTGAGCCTTAAATAGTGATATTATTTTTGAATGTTTTGCTTAAAATTACAATAATCACGATTGATTGTAGATTGACTTTTAATTATGACATATTTAATCGTATAATACTAATGTAATTGGTTGTTGATTCAGTTGTTTTAAGGTGCATGATTGTTAATTGTTTCCTGAATAATCACATTGTATTGGAAACAAGTGTTGGTAATGCTCAATCCCACATTGTATTGGAAACACTATTGGGAATGGTATTTAAGGCTTGGCTTTCCCACTTTCTTGTTAAGTGATAGAGAACAATGGGGACTCTCGCGCACCGCCGCCGCCGTCCGTCTCGTCTCGTCTCGTCTCGGGTCGTGGTCGTGGTCGTGGTCGTGGTCGTGGTCGTGGTCGTGGTCGTGGTAATGGTCGTGGTAATACGTGTCTTCGACACGTCCGCGCGTATACTATCTTTTTAGAGAAAATTCTTAAGAAACAAAATCTTTTTTTCAACGAATTTCAACTATCGCAACGCGAATTTGTGATGATGGAGATCGCGTTGCGATTTCAACTATCGCAACGCGAAATGGAAAATCGCAACGCGATCTCCAACTATCGCAACGCGAAATGGAAAAACGCAACGCGATCTCCAACTATCGCAACGCGAAATGGAAAAACGCAACGCGATTTTCAACTATCGCAATGCGAAATGCAACGTGAATTTGCGATAGTGGAGATCGCAATGCGAATTAGAGATCGCATTGCGATTTTGTTGGTCATTTTCGCAAATCCAAAAAAAATTGGTCAAAATCGTATATTATCTAAGATTTTTGGTCACTGAGGTTATTTTCTCATTTTAATATCTAAACTTTATTTTTTTAAAACATATCTAACATTTACTCTTTATTTTATTTTAATACTCTATCGTTAAAAATATAACAACGGTTAACATTACAATTTGTAATTATCTGTTTCAATTTTTAAATCATTATTAATTTTATTCAACTCATCAAAGTTAAACTAACCAAACTAAAACCATAACCAAACCAACAACCGAAACACAGAAGAGAGAAGAGAGAAGAGAGAAGAGAGAGAGAAGACTTACCTTCATGGCGTTTGGCATCTGGGATGGGGGACTGTTGGTGCTGCTCACGTGGGGAGCTGATGAGGCTACTTGGGACCACTGGTGTTGGCGATGTGGAGGCTCCTTGCTTGAACGGGGGTTTAGGACCACCTAAGCGCGTGGCCATTGGCTGATGGACGTGGAGGAGGGATCACGGGACCATTGCTGGAATCTCGAAAGCCACAGCTGACGTGGAAGCTCGACGGACTGTTAGATCCAGACCACAGACGGAATCTAAAAGGTCAACTGGAGGCGACGATAAATTGCTTCATTAGGGTTTTCCCCAACCCTAAAACATATGTTGGGTCAAATCTGTTAATTGAGTTTTATGTAACGGTCTCCAAGTGGTGTTTGGTATTGTAAATGAACCTTTGAAATGTGTCTGTAAATTTCATTTGGGTTTGTTGGAATAATCAATTTGATCAAATTATAAATGGTCCTCATTTTCGGACCGTTATTACAGTCGGATGCGGTCAAGAGGGTAGAGTCGATTACAGTCGACGGTGCTAGAAGGAGAGGACGACCAAGACGAAAGTGGGAAGACTGCTTGAGATCTGATTTGATGGATTTAGCCCTTACCGAAGACATGATCTCTGATAGGAAAATATAGAGACTTAAAACTAGGGTAGTCGAATAGTGTGAGTCACATCTCTAGGGTGTATCATCTCTGTCTTCTTTTAATGCATTTGTAGTAATTTCCATGACTTCTACTTTTTATTCGTTTCTGTTATTGGTATTTATGAAGGCTTAGAACTGGGATTGCTATCGTTAACTTTTGTGTAACATTCTCTTCACTTTTAAATTTAGTCGGGTCTTACGTTTCTGTCTATATGCAGAGATTTTTTCGCAGGGATTTATTTGCAGTGATTACTGCCTATTACAAACGCGCATATGATATTAATGACTACATATGAATACTGTTCAACTATGTATTTATGTATTTATTTATACATGCATTGCATTTTATCTATATTTTTAATTTCCTGACTGCCGAAGGTCTTTCACGGAAGCTACTCTCAACCTGGCATTGGGGGCAGCCTACTATCCTACCTCCCCTTATCTCATTGCATATGGGATTTGAGTTTTGTTGTTGTTGTTATTGTATTTTCGTGGCGTTATTACTGGCCCATAACGGAACAAGATTGGACAAGCCCAAAATCGAGTCATTAACTTTTACTACGGTTAATATGTGTTCTTTTTAACCTTTAATGCAGTTAAATTTAGGTTAAACTACATGTTTAGTAACTAATTATTATTTTTGTTTTGTTTTGGTACCTAATTTTTTTTTCTTAAATTATGTCTAATATTTAGTTTAGGCTTCAATTTGGTACTAGTCGTTAAAAATTAACATAACTATTGATGTGATATTTTTAATTTTTTCAATGATGAGATTGAATTACCTTATGGTGACTAAGTCAACTTCACCATTAAGTTTTTAATTACGGATACTAAAATAAAACATAAACTAAATATTAGACATAATATTAAAAAAGATAAAGTTGGATTACCAAATGAAACAAAAGTAATAGTTTAAATACTAAACATGTATTTTACCCTTTTACTTCGCTTTCTCTTGTATTTTCCCTTCATATTCTCCCTCCAAAAATTCGCAACCCACGCCCTTGATAAAAAAAAATCACCTTTTTTTCATATTTTGTTTTTGTCTGCACTGTGCTAGGGTTTTATCTATTGTTAAAGGAATGGGGAGGCATCGGAGCCGGAGCAGAAGCTACAGTCCTCGCCGTCGTAGCCGGACCCCTACACGTGAAAGGAAGAGGTATGACGATGACCCTCGCGATCGCCACCGATCTCACCGTCGTCGATCCCTCTTCCTTCGGCTTGCTCATTCGAAATCTCCCTCTCGACGCTAGGTATTCATATCTCTGGCCCCATCCATTGATTCTTATTGAGATTTTATTTAACTGTAATTTTGTTTAGTCGAATTATTTTCCCATGAGTAAGTGTAAGAAGAGGGGGAATTTGATTTTTTTTTTATTTTCACGTCTTTTTAACTGAAATTTGTGTTGTAGGAAGTTTCCTCATTGAGAAATAGATTCAGAAAAGTTTTATTTTTTTCCGCAGGCCAGAAGATCTTAGGGTTCCGTTTGAGCGGTATGGTCCGGTGAAGGATGTTTATCTGCCGAAAAATTATTACACAGGGTACGCCATTGCTCGGGACTATGTTCATATGTCTGTGTTTGTTCTTTGATGTTTCAGCATTCAATTTTGGTTGTTTCTTTGTTGACGTTTGTGCTACTTAGAATAGAACTCAATGAGATTATAATGCCCTTTTCTGAAATTGTTTTATATCCCATTGATGGCCTGCTGATATTTTGTTTTTAGTTTCAATAAAGGTATCCGACTTGTTAATTATAGGTAGTAATTATTTGAATATGTAGGGAGCCACGGGGATTTGGCTTTGTGAAGTTTCGGTATGGTGAAGATGCAGCTGAAGCAAAACAACGAATGAACCATCAAGTTATTGGTGGACGTGAGATAAGAATTGTTTTCGCTGAGGAAAATAGGAAAACTCCCCAAGAAATGCGAGTGACTGCCCGCGTGAGGTGCCACAGCACATTTCTCTTTTATACAGTCCTCTGGTTATTTTCTTCCTCAATATCGGAATAAAATGCTGATGTGATCAATTATTGTTTTTTCTTTCTTTTTTGTTTAAAGTGATCAAGACAGGGGAAGCAGGAGAACACCACCTAGGTCCCAAGACGCCGATATCGCTGTCAGTAAACTCGCTCACCGTCACCTGCTAGGCATGATTCAAGGTTTGAATTTTTACTTATCAGTTTTTATGCGCTCTTTTTATACATAATTAATGGCTCTTCTTGTTACATGACTCAACTCATTTACATATGTAATGACATAAAATGTTCGCTATGAATTTCTATTGTTCTACTTTCGATTCGAATCATAGCTGTCAGTTGGACTGATATGATACCCTTCAGTGAATATATGCTGTGGTGGCCTTGTTATGCAGATTGTAAAGAGAAAGAGATTCTTAAAGACTTCTGGATTAATAAAGATTACGAGATCATAAAGTGGACAACTGATTTTTTATCAAAGCTTCTCTATAAGTTATCCATAATCCCCCTTCACCAAATATTGACCACAAATTGCATGAGGTCTTGTTTTTTGACTTGGGTTTATGAGGCGTGGTTCCATTGAATGAACTGACCAGCTAAAATGTTTGTGAGATGATTAGTATCCCAGGAGTATCTTATCTTTTTCTTTTGCATATGAGCTTCAAATTAGTGTTTTTCTTTTTATTCTTTGCATGAGAAAATTTGTTAAGTATGAGTCTTCTTTTCGTATACTATCCAGTTAAGAAAGAAATTAGAGATTATATTTGGTCAAAGAAAGAACCATCTTCAAACAAAGGAAGCCAATCAACGTATTTACTGGTAGAGATTTGATGGCATTGTACAAGAAAAGATAATATGATGTTTATAAAGTTGGGGCAAAGAGAGCTATGAAGTGGTCAGATGTGGTCAACAAGTACATCATTATAAAGCCTAATTCTCAGTTTTTTCGATCCAAATGTTATATTTTGTTCAGTGATACTGGAAATGTGCAGCAGTGCAGGTAAAGGTCAATATTTTAATCCATTGATTTGTGTGAGGATGCTAGTAAAAATTGCCGTTGGAAGAAGGTTTGCCTTACAAAGAAAAGAAGAAATACTCCTTTTATAATTGCCTTTTAATTTTGTTATGTGAACTGAAATATCTGTTTGCCTTGGTAACATTGTATGTGTTAATTATTAGTTTCTCACACATTCTGTTTTCACTTGAAACTGGAGATAGGTATCAGAGAGGGAGAGATTATCATTGCTCCCCAGGCAGTCTAGATCAGTTTCACAGGATCGTGCTGTGAGAGATGACTATCGGTCTCCTAGTCAGGCCAGATCCATGTCAAGGGATCATGGGGCGAAAGATGATTATCGCTCTTCCAGACGACCTAGATCTGTTTCACAGTCTCTTTCTCCACATTCTCCGCATGGTGACAGGGAATACAGAACCAAGCAGAGGTCCCCAAGTCCGAGGGAAAATGTTCAGAGTCCACATGATGAGAGAGATCATGTGCGCAGCAGCCCAAAGAGTCCAAGGCGTGTCAATCGCAGTCCTTCAAGGTCTCGTTCAAGATCCTTGAGGTAGGTTCTTTCCAAAATTGACATTTTTTGAACGCCTAAAGGCCATACATGATTTGATACTTTCAATCGAAGTCCTGTGCAACAATTGAAGTTAGCATTTTTATACTTTTTGTATCTTCAGTCCTCGCCAGCAGCTTTGCAAATGATGATGCCTTCTCATGGTGTCTTGCACGTTGTTACTGCTGGAAACTGCAAGTGTGTTTGTCAGGTTCTTTATATTTCCCTACAATTAGTACTATGAGGTAGTGTGGGTAAATTATGGGCATTCAAAGTCTAGAAGTTTTTAAGTGTGTTGATATATTTCTGCATCTTGTCTTTAGTGATTTTCAGGATAGAACTTCTAACTATTGCAATCTACCTTTTATTGTTGGAAGGATTTATCTATAAACTTTAGCATATTGTACTTGATGGGAGTTGCCATTTCTGACGCATCTTTTTCAATGCTTTTTCTTCTTTCTATTTTCTGGGTTTTGATCTAAGGGCTTGAAGAATCTAACGGAAGTTTTCTTCATTGCTTGTGTTTTCTTAAATGACTGTTCCATCAGTTGGTCTAAAGAAATCCAAGTTTAATTAAAAATATATATATATATATATATATATTCTAAATATTAGAAAAAAAATTTAATCTGTACTCTTTTCTTTTTCCCCTAACGGATTCCCATTGATAATACATTGATAACTGGCGTAAAATGGATAAATATGTTACTTTCTCAATGGTTGATGGTATTTCAGGTTTCTGCCCTCTTTTCCTTTTTTTTTTTTTTTAACCTTGAGGTCGTGGGATTGAGTCCTATGGAGGCATTTCATAATTTGGAGAACTACGAAAGCTGTTCTCAACTTAGTATTGGAGGCAGTCTACTATCTTACTTCTCTCTTACCCCATTATATATGGGAATAAGGAATAACCATTTTTATATGGTCAACAAAAAATATTAATAACGACAAAGTATTATTATTTTTAGGATGAATGTATGATAAATTATGTCAAGAGTTTCTACGATCCAAAGTTAATAGGTTTGTTCCTTACGCTTGATCTTTTGTCTTGCACGTGTTTCAGTAATAGTAAAACTAGAATAAAAATTATAACATCATAAACTAAAAAAGGATTGTCGCATATAAATTGTTTCTGGGGTGAGTATTCGATCAAGTTGAATATAAAAATTGAGTTATTCTTGTAATTTACTTCTGGATCATTGAAATCACCTTACAGCATCAACCGGAAAGGTTCTAGTATCATCTTAATTTACCTCATGTAGACTCTTTGAACACCATAAGAAGAGGAATAAGGTAACCAGAGAAGGAAACTAGTATAATAATGGGCGTAAACAACGAAGTAAAGAATGCATAGATTATAACAACGCAGTTACTGTTAATGTACATAAGAAAACGTCAAGTCGGATGAAGAGAAACCGTCACATTACAGACCAAACTTAGAATTTCTGATCTGAATATATGTGGATGTAGGCCGAAGATTACTTAAGGCCTTATCAGGGGACCTTTTTATCTGAGAGCCTTCTAGCTCAATAACATGTTTAACAATAATGGACTATGGTTACAACATAATGGGCAACGGTTACAACAACATAACCAATTTGACACGAGTCCACTGGACTACATTCATTGGACCTACAGGGTCAAATGGAGAGCGGGACACCCCTAAACTCAACATCCATACTCCATAAAATCCAATTCCAAAAGAATCCGATCTTATCATACTGAATAGAATCAGAACTCGGCAGATTCAAATATGACATCAAAACACACCTTAAAAAGTAGAGGTATTTACAAATTTGATAAACTCTAAAGGTCATTTATGACATTATCAATAAATTAATTTTACTAATATATTAAAATTGAATTATAAAACCAATTTTAGCATTTATAAGGTGAAGGAAAAGCGCATGAATGAATAATCATCATGAATTAAGTTTTTACAAACCAGTCTCTTATCCATACAATAGGGAGGCAATGCTGAATGCATTGAACGGGACAGTTTCTGTTCGATGCAAACTGGACCTAACTTATTAATTATTCAAGCATGGAAGGCAAGATTGTTCAACCAATGCCGAACGCCTAAAGCCAAAGTCAATCCAAAGGGCATGCTTTCTCAAAGGCTTGCTGCTCTTTGCGACACAAATCGAATTCATTTGTGTGGTAGTACATGCATCCCACATAAGCTTCCATGGGGTCTTTGCATCTCTCATACAGATCTTTTAGCCTGCACCACACTCAGTCCAACATTCCATAACTCAGCTATAATTAAAACAGAAAATCGTTATAGTAATACACATTGTAGCTAGTTTCATGTGTGAATATGGAAAAGGTAGTTTCCCATAGCCAGCAAGAAAAAATAAACGTAAAACCATGTTTGAATCTTCGCTTTTCTTGAAGCATCCATAGTCTAAAAATATACCTATGCCTGATGCATATTCGTACAAAGGTACAAAGATATAGCCCTCCAAAGTTACTCCAAATACATTGAAAATCATAAAAGAACATATGAACAATACACATATCCGACGATCACACTCGAGTTCGAAAGCCCCATTGTAATAATTAAAGACAAAGAAGAGGCCAAAACTTAATACAACTTTGATGTTTTCCTGTGAGTAGTAGATCTAAATCAGATTCAAACTAACATAAACAGGAAGAAGAAACATCCGATTCTATGGCTTGGCTAAACTTGAATCTATTTTGCTTAATCATGCGAAGCCTAACATGGACTTGTTTTAAGTTTCAACTGCTAATCATAAAACAAATCTAGATCGATCAACATGACACCAATGTTAAATTCAGCAAAGCAGCACATGTTAGCCATTTGACTAAAATGAGTGATGATCATTTCCACAACCGAAGAGATTATAGAGTTTAGACCTATGTTTCCTGTATTCAGAAATAATCATATGCCAGTACCTACATCCAAATATGTCTGAAATCGATACTTTCACAAAAAAACACTGATCCCCGTACTTTTAGCCACAATTTCATAGCATAAAACCTCCAAAAAGACAACCAATTCCAAATTCTCTAACAATGCTACATTTGCATTGAAGAAATTTGAAACCTAATGCTAATTATCATCATATTCCAGTTTAATTCCTTTCCAATTCCAACATTATCTAATACGAAACAATTAAGCTATAAAACTCAACAAAGGAACTAAAATTAAAAAGCTTACACTCCAAGCGCGCGAGTAGCTTGGCGGCCCTTATCGAGACATTTCTCAGGGTTCGGATCTTTCTTCTTACACTTGATGAACTCCACGTTTTCGGACATACATTTGTTTTCAATGTGCTTCGCGGCTGACATCAGCACAGATGATGTCGGGATCGGTTCCCCCGCCGCATCCACCACTTTCGTCGCCATTTTCCGCCGCCGATCTCTGAATAAAGATCGGTTCTTTCTGCACCAATAAAGAAAACCCTAAAAAATATCAAATTTTCAACACTTACAGATGCGAAAAAGAAAAAGAGAGAAAATTTATTACGATTAATCTTTTACCCAAAAAAATCAGTGGGTTTTGGCTTAAACAGAGAGAGAGAGATGGGGGAATTTTTTTTTGGGGGTGGTGAAGACTCTGAGGTTTTGCTTAAACAGGTGCAGGTTCGTAATTCCATTTTCTTTAAAGGGTATTATCGTCATTCCATGTTTTATGTTTCTAACTAACTTCTTTTAGCCCCAAAACCCTCGCATTCTTCAGTTTCTTTGCTCTTTCTTTTCTTTTTCTCTTCAGCCAAACATCAAAACAGTCCTTTCCCATACACTTTAGCGGTAAGTTAAATGTTTTTTTGGTCTAATTTAATGCTAAAGCTACTTCTTTACTTAGTTATTTTAAATATGTTTCTTATGGTTTTTGTTATGGAGATAGTGTTGAATTTACTGCAAACTTTTAGAGATCTTCTAATTGATTTTAGCCTGGACATGCCAAGCGTTTGAACACGAAAAAATGTTTCATTTTTATTTTCCATTTCATTGTTGCAAAGGAAGTTTTCTTTTACCCCATTTTTACTCTCCTATTGCAGTGACTGTTCTGTGTTGTACATATGACTATATATGTTTTCAGCTTTTATGTTCAGAATTACTGCCCAAGCCCAATTTTCTTCTGTAATGTATAAGATATACGCAATGATTTAAATAGTGGTCCGCTATCGGAATAGCCTATATATCGGTAAATGTGCCATATAAAACCATTATTGTATGATACCTGCAATGATTGTCAGATTGTAATATCATCTGTTATGTCCGCAATAGTAATAAACACAACCGCAATCGTAATTTAAATCCCTTGATGTATGGTATCAATAATCCATTTTTTTTGGAGGATGCATCAACAATACACTTAAATTGTTAGGTTAGGATGGTTTAGGAGTTAAGAAAGAAAACCCTAAATTTCAAGCAATGCCCCTTGCTTTCTTACCTCATTTAGGCGATACCAATAAATCCGAAGAGCTGGTGATATGTTAATCCATTTTTGTTCTGAAATGAGTAGGACGTCAGCATTGACTATCACCTAAGTTTCTGGGTGTGGGTGGATATAATGAAGTCAAGGCGTGATTATCGAGCAATGGCCTTTGTATTTCTATACTTAATTAGCTGAAGCTTGTAAACTTGCAAGATGGTAATTGATTAGCAATAGGGTGAATATCCATTATGACTTTTTCTCGTAAGAGTCAGTGCTGTCGAGGAATTGTGCCTGAGAATTATGCAGCAAAGGCACCTTAGACCCTTTCGGTTGTGGCGCATTTGATTGTGTGCACACCTGGTGTGCCTAGAAATACTTAAACTGAAATAGTGGGGTAAGACTTAATTTATCTGGTTTCAAAACTACTAGGGACCTAAGAAGTAATTAGACTAAAAAAATTTGGGGGACAAGGCTTAATTTATTTAGTTTCAAAACGTCTAGGGACCTAAGAAATAATTGAATCTAAAAATACTTTCTGGGTAGCTCCGTCCCTACCATAATGGAAGCTAGGATGCACCCGTTGAAGCTCTCTTTCTTCAGCCTTCAAACCCGTCACACAGCAAAGACATGGAAAGAAACACTGATAAATCTGGTGTTAAGCAGTAGTAGGTAGAAGGAAGACAAGAATTTTGGATGACGAATGATAAACTTAGAAGTGGCAGTAACGGTGGAGGGATAGTACCATGCTTCACCAGTTAGATTTTCAAACATATGATGACTTTGAAGACCCTTTGATTTGGCTTCACCGGTGTAAATGTTTTTTGCCAACCGATGGTTGCGACAAATCAAGTCAATCCAGTAGCTTTCAACTTGGGGGAAGCTCAATTGTATTATTACAAGCTCAAGCAAGAGGATTCATATATTAGTTGGGACAAATTTACCGAGTATTGTATGTTGCAATCTCATTGCCTTCCCCCTTCCTGCAAAGTTTCTAAGTTAATAAACTTCATTGTATATGAATCTCTTAGTCATTGAAGCTGAGCTGAGCTCGGTGGAAGAAATTGTCCAGGTCTGGCAAAAATTGACTGGATTTGTTGGCCTCGAGGGGCCAACGAGCCCATGGAGACTAATTGTATGTTCTGAGTACTGCAGGATATAATTGTTTCTATTGCTTCATGTGTCATCTTTGGACCTATTTGATGTTCATGGTATGTATTTGGACAGTTGATTGTTGCTCACTTGCTTGATTTGTGTTTAAATATTTGTGCATCTAAAACTGTGTGGACAAAATATAATAAGTACAGTTTTATTTACATGTATATACAGAATGGTAGGATCAATGTTTTGTTTTTCTTTTTTAAACATCGTTTATATTTTATAAAAAGCTTTCATCCCTACTGATTTGAGTGTGTTTTCTCATGAATATTTAGAAATGGGGGACAAGAAGAAAAAGACTTTTATGTTTATCCGCCTTGTCTCGGCTGCTGGGACTGGATTCTTCTATGTGAAGAGGAAAAGTGCCAAGAAAGTGGCCGAGAAACTCGAGTTTCGCAAGTATGATCCCCGTGTAAATCGCCATGTTCTTTTCACCGAACAAAAGATGAAATAAGGGACCCTGTAGTGTTTCAGCTTTTCTGTTCTCGTCCTTTCTTTGATACGCATCCAGTACGTACTGTTTTTGCATAGATGAAGCCAAAATATTTGAAACAGAATAGGAAACTGTTGTGTTTAGTTACATCTATTTAAGCCTCCGGGAGTTGGCCCAAAGGTTGCATCATGAAGAACATTATCATGTATCAAATGCTTTATTTAAATAACTGATCAAGACATTTATTCCTATATAGAAGGCATATTGTTCACATCCTTCGCACGTTATTGCATACATTGTGCTTCATGTTTTCCAGGAATGGAACACTTGCATCAGGGACCTACTTTTCTTCATTTCATGTACTGAACCAATTGATTCTGTTATAACGGTATGCTCGGTCGGGGTTCGTGTCGGTTCGGAAAAATAAATTTTGGGTCTGAGATAGTAGTTAATGTCGAACACATCACATGGAATTCTGTGTGGATTTTCATTCTCAATACCTCTAATTATTTCTTAATCAATTTATGTCCTATTGAATTCGAATCAAATTCCAAGGATAACAATATCGGGAAGAAGTTCCCAGATATCCACACCGTGTAGTTGATCGAGTATTTCGAAATAACAACGAATTTGACGAAATCCCATGTCTACAATTAATTTATTGCATACATTGTTTTCTTTTTGTTTTCTAGGAATGGAACTCTTGGATCAAGTGTTTTCTCATTTCATATACTGGATGACTTAATTTGTGTTATGTTGGGAAAAGTAATTCCTGGTTGAAATAATAGATATTTTAGTTCCTTATGGTGTAAGAAAAAATTGAGCAGTCAAGTAAATTGGAGCACAGATAAGAGTCTTGGTCTGTAATAACTCCGGTCATGCATAATTGCTTGTTGACTTGAACTTAAGCTTTTGAATAGTAGATTGAAAAGGACAAAAGTATTCTTATTCTTATCTGATCCATGACTTAAGGGATTGCAGTCTGGCAAGGTTCTTGCCTTTTCATTTCTTTGCTCTTTTTTTCCAGCGAAGAGGGAAGAAACAATTTGATTCAATTTAGTTATTAATAAATATAAGGGTAAACTACCAGTTTAGTACCCCAATTATTATTTTTCATCTATTTTGGTCACTCGGCTATTTCTTGTTTTAAAATCATATCTAAGGTTACGTATTGGTTTCATTTTATGTTAAAAAATTAATAGTGGTGCTGATGTGTCACCATAAAGTAATATCAAATCATCATTGATTTTTTAAAAATGTCAAATTAACAATTATGTTGATTTTTTAACGACGGTGATCAAAATAAAATCAAAAGGTAATGTTATGTATAACTTTGAATAAAATAATAGTTAAGTGATCAAAACAGAATAAAAGTGATAGTTTTGATAAGTATGAGGTGATCACATTGTTACATATGCTCATAACTTTCTTAACCTATTGACAGACGCAGTCATCCTGCAAACGTAATTGCTCAAACCCAAGACCTCTAGGAAAATTATAATCTTTTTATCACTGAAGTTGTCACATTCCAAGTTTCGGGGGTTAGATTAATGTGTTTCAAAATCTTGGTACCAGTTTATAAGCTCTCTAAAAGTGTGAGGACTTGTAGCTTGGTTTCCCTATTTCTAAGGATTTCAAAACCGCTCTTCCCCCTTTCTTTTTCCCTCTCTACTGTATTTTTCTCTCTCTCAATTACCATTCGGTTGCTTTTATCCTTGATTCATCATTGTCCGTGTCGTTGTGTTGCTCACCGTAGGCGTCATTGTGTTCCTCTCGTCGTCGTCGTTTGTCTGATGGTCTCGATGTTTCCATCGTCGCTAGCGTTAGCATGATCGGAGGGGAGGAAGTTTCGAGTTTCATTAAAAATCTCATTTCGTCAATCTTTTTCACACACCGACCTCGGTAAATGTCTCCTCCTCGTCTAAAATATTTTTTTTATATTTTTCTATAATTTTTTGCCACCAGATGGTGTCCTACGTGCCCCCACCCTGGATTGAACTGGTTGAACCAGTTTGTCCGACCCGACCTGTAATATCTTAAAATAGGGGTTAATGACTAAATTGAAAGATTCTAAAATTTAGTGACCAATCTCATAAAAGATTAAAAGTTTAAGGATTTAAATGAAAAGTGTTGATGTTGGATTTAATAACAAAGTTTGAAAGTAATAAGGGTAAAATAGTCTTTTCTAAGGAAGGATTTTATTTCTCCTTTTATATAGGAGAGCAACACGTGGTAATAGAGAGAAATGAAAGAAAAATATGGAGATTGTTTTATCTTCTTCCTCTTCTCTTCTCGTAAGCTCCATGGCAAAAGTAAGTTGGTTCCAAGTTGATTAATTCTTTTGTTTTAAAGTTGGTTTTAATTCTTAGAGTGATAGAAAAGATTAAGGAAAGCTTACGATGGATAAAAACTCAAAGATTATCAAGTTATGAGAGATTGAAATTAAAAGGTTTCAAATTGAAATCTTGGAAAAGAGTTAGTAATTGAAGTTGGAGGTTAAATTTGACTTGTCAAAGGGTTAATTAAGAAGTTAGAGGTGATAGAATTGAATTAAGAATACATGAAAATTTGATGAAATTCTTTGATTCAAGAATTATAGTGAATTATGAGGGATAGTAAAGTGTTATAATGTTATAAGAAGGTTTACATATGTATAGATAAGTTTTATGGTATAAGGAGGGGTTAATAAGTAGAATTTGAGGACAAAGTAAGAATTTTCGGGCTCAAAATGTAATTTCTGGGTTGTGTGCATCGATGCATCTTCAATGTGTATCAATGCACTCTCAAATAAATGAACATCAAATGCAATTAGTGCATCGATGCATAAGGAGTGCATCGATGCACCCCCTTAAGATTAGAACATCGAAGGTGAATTGTGTACCGATGCATGGATAGTGCATCGATGCACATGTTAAAGAATGCATCGATACACTGTAGAATGTACCGATGCACTTCAAGGGAAAATATAATTATACCTTTCTTTTGGTCTAAGAAATGATAGATTAGAATATATCAATTGGATAATGATATGTATCAATGTATGATTATATATATATCGAACACGAACAATTTTCGAAACGATTATCAAGTTAAGATTCGATCGAATAAGAGAAAATCATAAAAGTGTATGGGAACTTAGTGAGGCCAAGGTGAGTGCAATTTTAATTATACTTATATTATTGAACGAACATTGACTTGCGATGAGCCAGTGACGAAGTTACTATGGTAAGAAGTAACTTCTAAAATGTTATGTGATCATTATGTGTGCATTAGTACATAGAAATGGATGTATGCTCTTATAGGTTACATGAACAAATGAGAAATGATATAAGCCATATGAAATGATCTACGTGAATACATACCTTTTGATATATGTGATATTAATATAAGTAATTATAGGAATATGTAATATAAGTGTTATATGAAATGTGACTATGTGATATGAATGTGATATGTGAACATAAGTGACTAATTGACATGAGCTATGTGACTATATGAAAGCAAGAACATGTGATATGAAATACATGATAAGAAGATATGATACTCTGTAAGGATATTACATGATATAAAATAAAAGAGTTATGAGTTATATGCATATGTGATATATGTTTACACATACATATGGTATGTGACATAAGAGAAAGAAATATGTGATCATATGAAATGTGATAAAGAGCTATGTGAAAGAACAAGTGATATGAAATGTATAAATGATAATGCCCATGTTATGTGATATGAGAGCTAGGGGTATAGTTGGTATGCCAAGAGTCGAGGGTTTAACTATGTTCTACGGAACATATGGGCAGAATTACCTATGTCTTTAGAGACATATATGGATAGTATACCTATGTTCTAAGGAACATATGAACAATTTACCTAGGTTCTTCGGGACCAATGGACAGTTGTAGAGGTTCTTTATGACATCTGGATAGGTCATTTGGGACATTTATACGAGTTGTGGTGACAGCATAGTGGTGCACAACCTCAATGTACTCACATACCTTAAGTTCTCAAAAGTATACATGGGCTAATACATAGACTTTAAAGAGAGTAAATAAATCAATTGATATGATACGATGTGTGTTCGGTTGTGCACTGATATATGTGTACCATGATATGTATAGAAATGTTTAGTATAGGTTTATACGATAAAAAGAATTAGTGACATGTGTACATGGGCTAATAAGAGATAACATTGAATACAATGTATGTGATATATATATGTGTTTTGTGATATGAATTATATGATATGATATATGTGTGTTAGTGATTATTATATATGTTATAAGATATATAATATGAACATAATGGATCATATAAACAAGAGAATAGAAATATGAATGGTAATAATATGATAATGATAGGAAAGAAGATAATTATATGCATGTGGGGATTTGATATATGAATGGATATATGTTTGGGTATGATGTGATAGCAATAATTGTTCATGCATGATTACAAGTTATAGTTTACATTATATGTTTATTGCCTCACTAAGTCGTAGACTTAGCGTGTGAATGTTTCACACGTAGGTTACAGAAACGAGAAGAAGAGTAAAGAGCAATGTGGAGCAATACATGTCAGTTCTCCTTACTGAAGGTCAGATCAGAAGAGAGGTGAATAATACGTATTTTAATATATAAAGTCCTAGTTGGCATGTACTCAAAAGAATATAGTGTATAAGCTCTGAATAGTTCTGTAAACGTTTTGAATAAGTTATATGTTATAAAAGTTTTAAATTACTCATTATTTTATACAAGTAAATGTTTTAAAAAGTCAATGTGACACCTCAGACTCGGATTCGGGTCGGTTCGGGTTGAGGGTGTTACACGACCCGTTGACTGACCCGACCCATTGACTAAACCAACTCGTTGACTAACCCGACCCATTGATCGATCCGACCCATTGACCATGACAGTTGATCGTTGACTTTGACTGTTAACTGTTGAATTTGACCAAAAACCCATATCTTTATATTTTTTGACGCCCTGAGTTTGTTTTTGTAGTTCGTTATGCCAAATTTTTACCCGAAAGCCATGTTTTGCATCGTTTATCACTTTAAGTCATTATTATGTTAAGTAAATTGTAAGATTTTGGACACACTTTTTGATGTTATTTTTTTAAGGTGATCATGCTTATTCACATCGTTCTTTGATAGATCCTGATCATCCTCGCTCAACTTAGTTCAATTCTTCTCGCTTGTCTCAAGATACACGTAAGTATTATTTAGTGACTTTATAGTCCATTTCTGTTTCGGATTATGGTTTTCGTTATTCATAGAGTGGTGTTGTTTTAGGTTCTTATTCCACAGAACCTTGTTTTACAAGCCGTGAAAAACGTAAGGCTTAGCTGATACTGATTATCTTTTATATGTGTTATCTCTGTACCTATTCAATATTTTCGATGAATTATGTTATTATGTCTTCATACTTATGCCACTAGCATGTGTATTTAGTGAATGCATGTACTATAATACAATTATTAGTGTGGCACTGAGCTCGTAAGCTCATCTTTCGAAATGTGTTTCTGTGCACAAGTTCTTAGAAGACCATCTGTGGAGCGCTATGATCATCAGATTTTCCAGGTCAGACGAGGCTTCAGAGTATGTCTTGATTTGTATTAGAGGGCATGCACTATTATAGACCCCTTTTTGTATTTAGCCATAACTTTGTTTTTGTATTAAACTCAGTATTGATATTATTTTGGATATTTGATAGCTCCCCTGTATTTGTAAACTCAGATTTATTTCGTTTTTATTTTATATCACTATGGATGACTTTTTATATAATTGTTTACAATTTTTTTAAAAGAAATTTTTTGGATTAGTCGCTTTGGTGGTCCTTGTGATATAGTAATTTATCAATCTTCGGGTCATGCTGAACTAGAGTGTTACACAATCACTTTGTAACTCAAACCCTTATTAGCATATGTTATTTCATTTACTTAGGCCCATTAGGGAAATTTAGTAATTTCATCCCTTCTAAGGGTATTTTAGTAATTTTTCGCACTCAAGCTAAATACTCGATCTCAACCACTATTAAACTCATCACTCTAAAGTCTACTTGATATCTCGAAGTCCACTAAACAATCGCACCGATGGTATTAGTACCTTTACATGAGTATTGATACCTACCTTAGGATATCGATACTCTCCCTGAGTATCAGTACAAAAAATAGCCTCAAAGGTCCCCCAAAATAACATTAGTATCGATACCATACATGTAGTATCGATACTCTTTTAGGTAGTATCAATACTCCTTTGAGTATTTGTACCAAATTGAGCTTCGAAGTTATCCAAAAATCACCCTTTATAACTTTCAAAGGAGTAGAACTGATACTACCTTATGCAGTATCGATACTACCTTTATATAATAGTCTAATTTTTTCCTCTGTTCATCTAGTATCGATACTACAATCCAAAAAAATTTGTTTCATACGAGAAACACCCCCAAACTCATCTTTATTTTAAGGTTTATATTGATTATTAAAGGTTATGAAAGTTTTTAGATGTCATTATATACCATTTTCACACCATTCTAACATCAAAAACGTCCACCACAATCATCAAGCACTTAGACCTCCTCATGCTTCATCACCCCATACAAGCAAGCAAAACTCATGTAAATGGCGTACAAGTAGTATGAAAGAGTTAGAATGCATTATTTCAGCTCTTAGTAACTCAAAAATCTCTCTAGCTTATCCAAGAATCAATCTTTCCTTAACCTTGATCATGGAGGGTTCTTGCACCATTCTTCCATCAATCACATGACAACAAGATAACTCTAACATGTAAATGATGAAGGCAAGTTGTTAAACAACAACTATATTATAAGAAAATCATATAGAAATCATAGGAGGAAACCTTTGGAGCTCAAACCCTTTCAAATCTCTAAATGAGCTCATGACCACATTGAAGATGGTGAACTCATCTTGAAGCTTAAAATCAAGGGTCATAAATCTTACCTTAGATTTTAGGATGAGGTGCTGATGAAGAAGTTTCCATATAATTTTTCTAGTTGGAGAAGAAAGAAAGAGAAGAAAATATGAGGAGATGAAGGAATAAATTTTGGAGATGAAAAGATAGCAAATGTGGTATGTCCAAAGGTCTTCAAAAGTCACGTTAAAATCAGCTAATATCTTGTTCATGGTAACTATATTTTTTCAAATACACTCTAGGTCTCTCTCTCATATCATCTCAAGTTTAAAAATTCATTTTTAACTTCAATAAGATTAATTTCTCACTCAATTGGACTCAGATTCGAACCAATGGACCTCTATGCTATTATAAATCTATTAAATAAATTATCAGATCGGTACTTAAATGTTGACTCATACAGTCAGGTCGTTACATAATCTTTATCCAGTAGAGTTACCACAAAACCAACTTAATTTTTAATTAGAATTTGAATTAATATCTGACATGCCCAATAAATCTATTTTTTCTATTAATTAATTAATTTTAATGAAAATTTTAAAAATTCACGAATAAGAGAAACGAAAACCATGAAAATTAAAATATTTTCTTCAAAAATTCAAGAGTTAAAAATATTATTAAGGTGATTATAAATATAGATATTTTTTTATTTATTATCTTATTTTAAAATTTGAATTTATCGTAATATTTATTTTATTCTCATTTGTAACTGGGTTTACATTTTTCATTGTATTTTGGAAGTAAAGATAATATTTTTTACGTTGGTTGACGCCGAAATGTGGGGCATATTCGAAGGTTTATCCTTAGCTTGGGATCTTGGTTTCCGTTGCAATATCGTCGAATCATGTAGTAAAGAAGTCATCACTCAAGACTCCCGGGGATTTTATCGGCCCGCCTGACTCAACATATAATTGCTCTCATCAAGAGAGAGTGGAAGATTCGGATGGTTCATGTCCCACGAGAAGGTAATGATGTGGCTGAGGCAATGACTAAACTAGCCTGAAATCTTCCTCTCGGATCTTACCGCTTCCACGACCCACTATCAGGAGTTTTTCCTACTTTCTTTGCTGATAGTTGTAATGTTTTGAATTCATGACCTTTTAGACTCGTTCTTTTTTCCTTACAATAAAAAATAATAATATTTTTGAACTATGAAGTAAAGATGAATTTTATCACTACATTCTTTTTAATTTTAGGATTAATAGAAAAATAAGTGATTTTGAATTTTGTTTCAAAAAAATGATTTGGTGTCTAAAGAATTTTTTTACTAAATATTAATGTCTAACGTTTCTCATTTACACTTTTAGGTCTCTATCCTTAATTTTTTATTTTTTAATAAAAAATTTAATTTATTTACAAAAGAACCCCAAAATTTTAATGAAATTATAAAAAACTCTAAAAAAATTAAAATCTCTCATTTCAACTCTATTACCAACCATCGCCAACCATCTCCGACCACCATCGTCATCGTCGAACGGTCATCCACCCGTCGCCGGCCACCCATTGATCAGTCTTCGCCCTTATCGTCACCAAAATCCCCTAAATCTCTAAAATCTCCAATATCTAAATCCCTGAAACTTTAAAATCTTAATCTCCACGATGGAAAGCCGGAGGAGCACCGATGGAGCAGCGGCGAGGATGGGTTTTGAGTGGAATTGCACGTTGGTTCGAATGATGGTGATGGTGTGGCTTATGGACGTCGGGATCGGCCGAAATCGATAAAAAACAGTGTTGGTGGCTTAAAATCCAACGAACATTTGAATGCTTCTCCACGACAAACACTGACAGCTTATAATGAAAGGTCAACTGGGGGTTTGATCGGGGGTCGACGCCAGTACTAATGAGGTTGACGGTGACGGTCACGGCTGGTAGGCCAATGACCATGGAAGGGGAAAAGGGGAGAGGGGGGCTGCTGCACGCGGGGTTGGTTTTTTTAAATAAAAATATTTTTATTTTTTAAAATTTTAAAATAAATTCTCAAAATTATCAGGACTTGACATGTGTCAATTAACAACCAAATTTAACGGTATACACCTAAAAATTTAACGAAAAAAACGTTAGACACTTATTTTTAGCAAAAATTACTTTAGACACAAACGCTTTTCGAGGCGAAGTTCAATCATTTATTTTTCTATTAAGCCTTAATTTAATATTGAATGTCTTTAAATTTAAATTTTATGAACTTTGTAATATCATTTAACGAAAAAATATTTTTTATATTAATTATTTACATGTAATCTATTGGCTGATTAATCCAGATTGAATTTTGTATTGGTTCATTATAAGGGCGACCCTCTCAATCCAGTTTATTTCATTCTAATTGTTAGGATTTGAACCTCTAATCTTACTTAAAAAATCTAATATTTTATCTCACACAATCAACTAATTGTTGATAATAAAATAATACTTTAGTATATTGTTAAACCCCCCTTTCTTAATTTTCAAGTTTTCTTTTTATATTTTCAAAAATAGTTTTTCTTTTATTATTTTCAAAATAAAGTTTTTCTTCTACTAAATAAAGATTAATGTTATATTTTACTTTTTCTTTATTTATACATTAACTTATTCCCATGATCTCAACTATCAAAATAAAAAAATGTAAGAAGCTTTAGTTTCTAATTTTTATTTTCGTATCATTAAAACTAATACTTAGGGGCAAATTTTAATCTAAAAAATCAAAATTAGAGTAAAAAAAACATAAAATTCAAAGTTTAGTTCCAAAATTCGTAAAAGTTCACCCAAATTCTCAAAGTATAATGAGAAACTATCAACCAAAATATAAACAGCTTATATTTCACACACACAAAAAAAAGTGATTCGATGAGATATAGAACATATCTGCAATAACCAGAGAGCATTGCATTGATTGCACAAAATAAAAAAGGGGGTTTATGCCTCACATCAAAAACATGATGCAAAGCATTTCAGTTGCAGCTAAGTAATTGAGACTTTAACCCACGGTTCTGTTCCTAGACATCTAAGAAGACAGTAATGGAGTTCTACTCTTTGCCATTTCCTATTTTAATTGAAAAGAAAAGTAATGTGCCGGCAATGCAGCCGGATCAAGTTCCCAGCAACCTCTTAGCCTGCCATTCCTCTCTTTGGTTAACTGGAAAAATGGTATCTGATGAGAGAACCTTAGCTGATCCATCCGAGAGATTTCTACTGTAACATTAGATCCTCCTTGTACTTGAGCCTTGAAAACAGAATTGAAGCCGTCAACTCGTTCTAAGTTTAAAACCTCTATGCACCTATCGGTTTCCTCCATAACCAGCACTATGTCATATCGCCAGTTCTCCAAGTCAGAACATTTAATTTCACGAGTCCAGTTACAATATAATGCCCAGATCTCGCCTTTTCTAGGCGAGACGACATATTCATTCTTACTGACGGTAAACTCTGCCTTTAGCTTATGAGAAAATGAGACGGTGGAGGAGTAGGTTTGGGAACGCTTTCTAATCCTAAATCTTCCGCAACAAGTGGGCATGTTTTTATCATACCACTCGGTTCTGGTTTCAGATGGGCAAGGAAGAAGCCATCTCACTTGTATTTTGAAAACTGGGTCGGACTCGATTTTCATGATCTTAGCATAGTATTTTGGCAAGCCATCATCACTGTACAATGCCCAGACCTGACCAACAAGAAACTTATCCTGGGATTTGTCAGCATCAAAATTGTAAAATTCAGATTCTGGAATCGCAAAAGTTTTTGAGGTCGAATCTTGAGAGGGAGGTTTATCAGATCCCACAATAGGCTTCAGTAGTTCAGAAGCACTTGAATAAGAACTATTAAGATGTCTGCTATCACCATTCGCCTTCAAGTCCTTTGCAATGACAATACCTTTGGGCAAAGAAGCTGTATCGAGTTCAAAGGAACCTTTTGGCAACCCTTGTCTCTCATCACCAGTCAGCACAAAGGATGGAACCTTGTGGGAAAACATGAACAGTTCATTGGGGGGAATAAGAAATGTAGCAACTCCATTCTTACTCATTGGACAGAATACACTAACAAAGCCTTTCACCTTAGTCAAGTAAGCAACCTGTATACCTGCACTTTCAGCAGCATCGGATAAAATCTCAACAAATTCATATTCAAATTTCTGGTCAGTGCAAGCACCGGACTTCCAATCAATACTCCAGTTCTTGAAAAGGGCCCAAGTTTCTCCTTTTCTTGGAAAAATCTTGTAGGTGTCCCTACAAGTTCCTTTTTCACAATATAGTAAATGGGAAAACATAAGACGGTTGTCAGTGTTTTCAGAGGCCCCAAGTTTGAATTTACCACAAGAAACCGGTAAACCTTCGTTAACCCATCCTATTTCATTTGCATCATCTGGATCTGGTTCTAGCCAGGTTATCCTCAGTTTGAACCCAGAAGAGAAGATTTTTCTGATCAGAGCATAGAATCTAGGCATGGCATCCAATGTATCATACAAAGCCCAAATCTGACCGACTGAAAAACAGCTTTCTTTCTTCGCATTGTCAAAGTCATAAAACTCTGGGTCAGGGTATGCAAAGAGCAGGGGCTCTTTTGTTTCTTTGAAGCTCGAATCTGACACAGAATCATCAACAATGGGGTTTAAGTTTTCCTTAAGGCCATCAGCATAAACTTTCTCAGGTTTCTTAAGAACATCCCCTTCAGCTGTTTCCTTCACAAAGCTTGCCCCAAAACTTTTACCTTCTCTATGGTTCATTGCTTTCTTATCTTCTTTCACTTTACCAGCTCGACTTCCGTGTTTAGATTTCTCTTCATTTGGCATTTCTTCAATATCATCATTTGCACAGGGTGATCCACTTATTTTAGCCTTTTTCGGAAGACTAACCATGTCCTCCTCATCATTTAAATTGTCCTTATACGAAACATGTTGCTTTTGCCTACCAGATCTCCACACATTCTGCTCAACTTGAGAATTGAACTTCTTTCTACCCATAAGATCACCATTGCCTTCAATAACAATATCCTCATCACACTCATTACTGCTTTTATCAGATTCTACAGTTTGCTTCCTTCCTATTTTATCATTCACCTTTCTCGTCCCAGCCTCAGAAGCACGGGCTGCATTTGGAGTAAAGGCTGTAAACACATGCTCGGTAGTAAAACTCCTTTGCGACCCTTGATCAACTTTGCAAGCACCCTGATTCTGAGCAACTCCTTGTTGGGGAAAGATTGGCCGACACATGTTACTTCCCAGTGGAACAACACCTGAATCATAGGCAACGAAGGCCTTCTTGCAATTTTGGCAGTTAATAGATCTATTAAGTATTTCTGTATACTGGTACTTAACCATACAGTATGGACACTTGGTCCAGAATGTGGACCGGCCATTGGAGAAACCCATTTGAGTTGGTGGTTGCGGTTTCTGTTGAGAATTCAAGCCAGGAAAGTTGGCACAGAAGTTATTCTGAGCAGCCACATGTGGATACCAACTTGGGTTCAGCGGAGGCCGACAAGCTGCGGCTGGAGATGGTCTGTTAACAGTAACTTTGCGTTTCATGTCATGTGTAGAACTTTTACCTTGATCCAAAAGAGCTCTTTGTGCATCCCCAATCAATTTAAAAGCAGCTTCCGCGCCAGGAAACTTATTCTTATCTGGGTGAAGTTGGAGTGCAAATTTTCTATACTGCTTCTTGATTGTAGCTTCATCAGCCGTTGGCTCAACCTTAAGTATGGCATACCAATCCATCCCATCACCAAACAATCGTTTCTCAGCAGCACAATGCACATCACACACCACTATCATCTGAGATATATTCTCCAGTTCCTGACAAAGTTGCTGGGCCTTGGATGCAACCCTAAGAGCCCCTGAAAAATCCTTGTTTTGCATCTTCTGCTCTGCAATATCTCTGGCCCTGATGGCCTCTTCCTTGTTGCAGTCCATCACCGGTAAAATCTACTTTTCCTCCAGGATCTGTTAACTATCGGATGAGAAACTCAGCTCACACCTCCTCATGAATCCTGTAATAGTTTTATCAAATTAGACCTTTCAAAAGTAACATAAAATAAATTCAACTGAACCAAAACAAATAAAGGAATAAAGAAATCAAAATCTGAAATTTCATTTCCAATAACAATTTTATATGATAAGTGGATATTCATGCATGAAGACATATTTTTCAAGTTTTTACACAAAAAAGGATTAACTTCAAAGATGGAAAGGAGGAAAAAACAAGGTATTGCAGCGTTTTTCTGGCACGAAATTAACATGATAATCACATGAAGAAACAAATCAGGATTGAACTCTTTCAATCAGAGGGTTCAAAGAAACATAAAATATGAAAAACGAAAATGAAATCTTCAAAGTTCAGAAATAACCAAAACCAACCAACCAAATTAAATATCATGCCAATAATATACCAACTGCAAATCCAGGAAAAGCTTTCCAATATTCAGTTACAACTAAACACAGAAGCCTAAAATGAGATCACAATACACATAGACCTGTCAATAGAGCGGGCCTGATTAATGTGGATCGATCTAATTTGGATTTTAAAACTTTAGGGTCATTTTCAGTCTGTTTGGTTTCAGGTTTGAGGATCACTTCCTTCATTTCGGAAAAATTCAGGTTTGAATTATTTCAAGTGAATTCTGTATCTGTTTGAGATTGGATTGATCGTATCAAGCATTCGCATTCTGGACAGATACATCTAAGAATAATTCCGTGAAGACCAGAGAATTACAACCCTATGCATAACAATACTAGTTACAATGTTCAAATTTCTCACATTTTCAATTAACGGTGCTAATCATATTATTAGCCCATACACCAAAATAACAACAAAACTAATGAATCCTCTTTCTAACATTAAATACAGTATAATAACCCTAAAACTTAAGAACCAAAACCCTAGTTATAAACAATTTCAAGCCCGCTAAACAACCAAACATAGTTGAAGACGCAAAACCCAAACTGAACCTTCTAAACCCAAAAAAGGGAAAAAATACAAACAAAAATGAATCAATCGCATAAGAACCATTCACAAACATAATTGGCGAAACATAAACAGAAATTTCAAAGAAGCAAAACCCCGAATAATGCTTGTTGGATTAAGTTCAAAATTATCTTTAACCAAAAAAAAAACAAAACTGAAATATAGATAAAGGGAAATGACCTGCAGTTTCAATTCCATCAAAATCCCGAAGAAAAGAAGTGAGGTGGGGGGTTTTGAGGGTTTGAGAAAGGGAAGAAAACTAAAAGGGAAGACGTGGAGACAAAATTGGGGAAGAAAATTAGCAACATCTGTCAGTACGGACTCTCTATTTCCCACTGTTTTTGTGGCAGATGCAGGACAAGATTGTGATTTTGCTCAGGCAATTAAGAGGATTTTGCTGTACCAATTATTCGGCTGTTTGGTTGGACTTATCCTGTATTTCTAATTTTCGATATAGGATTAGGGGGTGTCAATTTAACGGGTTTCACTAGATTTGATTTGATTCGATTAAGTTAATATTTAATTTGAAAATTTGAATATAAATCAAGTAATTTTTACAGATATGATTGAAATAATTCAAATTGAATCAATTTTTGAGGTTTGATGAATGACGGCAGAATGATTATTTGACAGTGACGACGTTAACGTTGATGATCAACTATATATGATAATAGTGATTTAGAGATTTAAGGATTTTAGACTATTTTTTATATTTTTAAAAAAATGAGATTTTTTTAAAAAGATAATAATTTTAAACTTTTTAAAAAGATTAATTTTTTTAAAATAATATAAATGTGACCTGTGTTAAATAATATTTTTTAACAATGGTTACTAGATAGACGTTTAAAAGTATAACAGTAAAAACATTTGATATATTCACTCCAAATGAAAAATTCTTTAGACATCTATAGTAACTTAAAAGAACATTTTAAACACTTATTTTTGCATCAAGCAGCCTTTTATTTCAAGTTTGAATTATTTAAAATTTAAATAAACCTGAAGTTGAAATGAATTAGTTCAAAATAACCTTTTAATAATTAAATTCGATTTTTAAGTCGAATTTTGGTGTCAACTTATCTAGTTGTCGTCGTCAACTCAAATCCTTGAGCTTTGATGAAATATACGTGTCATCCCCAAATGTTAAAAAACTCTCGATGGATTATTTGGCAACGAGCACCTAACAAAAGGAGAGATAAACAGGGACAGCAAATAGTTACTCAATAATAACTCTTCAGCTTTTTCTATTAAATTCGTTCAACCATCGGAGATGACAGTTTGAGTAAACAGTTTTCTAATGTTCAAAAGTATACGTATTTACAGCTAATGATAAAGATTAAGATAAAACATATACAAATTTTTGATATAATGATTCAGCTTTGGCAAACCCTAATGGTATCAAAAGATAACCATGAAGCCAACCCTTAATCTTTGTTAATATATGCATTAGTTTCATCCGTTCTAGGTGATGGAATCTCTGTTCCCATATCGGTGACGACCTTGGGCTGCTCTTTTGGCCCTCCTTGATTGAAGATGAAGATCCCATTCCCATGTATGCACAGAAGCTTCTAGTGATGCTAATTGAGTTTGGTTATATTAAAATCTCTGATATTTTAGATCTCAAAATGGTCTCGAAATGTTTCGAATTTTTGCTTGGCAATCTGACAAATGCAAAATGTAAACAGTGTGAAACTATGTCTAGCTTTGGCTTCTGCTCCAGAAATGGACACTAAGTTACTTTCGCAGCTAAAAGTGGTTCGCAAGATTGGAAATCTTTTGGAGTTTGTATATGCAAAGGATATGGAAGATTTTATAGAACCGATACTTGGCTTGTGTAGGGCTTTTCTTCTACGCTCTGTAGGCGGTAGAAAAGGCCGTTCCGTTTATACAGAAGAACCCACACTTATAGGCGATGTTACTGCTGAACCAAGTGCTCAAATTGATCTGCAGCACTGCATACGAGATATAATGGATTTTGGGAGCAATGTTAGAGTCTTGCTGGAGTTAAGTGCATCTCATGAAGCAAGCATTGTAGATATAGCCTCTGAATGTACCATATTTTTGCTCAAGGCAGCTCCAAGGTAAGCCACCACAGCATTCCTAACTAAGCTTCCAAAAGCAGATTCGATACTCGAGTCCTGGTGCAAGGACATCTCTAACTTGATCTTGCAGCGGATACTACACGCTGTCGGTTATTCCTGTAGGCTATACCTGTCACATGCCATGATACTATCAATATCGAAACCCGATATTACACGGATCGAACGCATTGTTTCCGAGCTGAAAAGCTCTAGTACACCTGGATTAGCTAATGTTGCTTCCCTTGTACTGTCGGAGTTGCAGCGGCTGCCGCGTTGCATTTGAGCTTCTCGATGTTACCCAACTTCATTTCCTGCTTGTGTTCTTTATACATTGATTGATTCTGAGATTTACTTTTCTCAAATGTCACAGGCTATTGTAGATTACTGATTTCGGCGGAGGATATAAACATATTTATAAAGTTTTGAAGAATGGTAGTCTAAATGATCCATGTAGGAGGTGACTTGTACTTTTATTCGCTTATGTTCTTGGCCTGTAACTGTATCAGCATGATCCATGCATACGTTGTATCATCATTGATATATTCAATTTACTACATTTTGGTTGAAAATTTAATATACCTGTTTAGAATCCATAATTTGGCCCATCTGTGTAACCCACTCCGATCTTCAGCAATCATTGAAAAGCAAAGACAACTGTGCTGAAAACGCCATAGTGCTGTGAAAGCTGTTTGCAACTAAGATTTGAATGATACAATGATCTCTCTCTGACTATTCTTTATATGGCCTTTTAGGGGCAGGCCAATTACTTTCTTTCATATAAGGGTAAATTACACTTGTTTATCACTCAATTATATTCTTACCCATATTTTGGTCATTGAAGTTTAAAATATTTCAATTTAATCATTAAATTTTTAATTACTCTTATTTTGGTCACTCTAATTTATTTTATTAATATCTTCAATGATGCGGTGTTTATTCATTGTTTTTTCACATAGAATCAAAAGAAAAATAAATAAAATTATATACCCTAAACCTTAGACTTAAACCCTAAATAGCAACATATAAACCATAAGTTACAAACTTAAACTTCAAACCCAAAGCCTAAATCTTAAACAACAACAAACAAATCGTAAATTAAAAAAAAAACCCCACACCCACAGTGTAATTCCGCTTTCCATCATATCATTCGCTTGGTGGACTTTGAACATGTGGTAATTTCAAACTTGGAAGTTTCCCTTTCCAAACTCATCAAATTGGCAAAAACTCTTATTTTCTGCAACCAATCTTACACCATTGTCCTCTTTGTCTCTTCTTCCTCTTCATTCTTCCTCTATTACCAAGCTTCATACTTTATTCCAAAACTCAAATTTTCTCTAATCTTGCCCATCATTCTTCCTCTCTTTATTCTTCTCCCTCTCTCCATTACCATTTTATTGAGCCTATAATGGCACCATAGAACAAAACTAGTTTTGATGAGGTTATATTAGAAGGATTTTTACAATCTTCATTCATTTTTCTATACATTCTCAATCTTGCTTTAGCATCATAGCATGGAAAGTGATGTTTTCGAGTTGTTTTCTTGTTGGTTGGAGAAGCTAAGGAAGTGTGAGGAACATCCAAAGTCAAGGACAAGGAGAAGTTGGTTGAACAATACTTCATGATTTAGTGTAATGTGTTGGTTTGGATGCTTAACTAGTGTATGATATGCATTTTTGTTCTCGACATGCTTTTGAAGCTTTATTAATGGAAAATGATGATTTGATGTGTTAAGCATTTGTTTTAAGGTGCTAACTAACTATTTTGTTGTGTTAAACCAAACACTTCTTATACAACAAAATAGCTAGTTAGCACGTTAAAACAGATGTTTATGAATAATGATTTAAAAAGTAAAATATAATTACAATTTTTCAAGTTAAGTTTTTAACTGCAAATATTAAAATGAAAAAAAAATAAACATTAAATATGATTTAAAAAATTAAAAGTTTAAGAACTAAAATATTATAGTTTAGATATTAAAGATGTAGTTTACTCTCAATATGATAATTAATATACGATAAAGACACTCATTATGCCATTCCAATTTTTTCAACCACTCTACACATATATGACTGAAAGGCAAAAAGATAACTTACTACCCATCTTCATGTATAAAATCCTATCTCGAAGAGAGTAAGAGTCTCTCTTCTTCCCCCTTTCAAGTCTTCCATGAGACCTCAAAGAAACCCAGCAAGCTTAGGTCACCACTCCCACAATAATCATCTTTTGAGTTCTCTATCTCGTTCTAATGAAATGGACCGACCAGAGCAATCAACTTACACGTTGTTCATCAACATATGTATAAACAATAACATATGTAGTATGCTTTTATATTTTTAATTCCGATCATGAATGGCTAATGTTTATATTAACTTAAATTTGGCTCAACAAAAATTCAAACGAAATACTAAGAAAAAGATTGGGGATGGAATGGACACCTTTTAATAGAACTCCCTAGAGATAAATTAAGCTGAATTGGAATTGATTAACCAAATCATAAAGAACGCTTCCAAATTCACGGGCTCTAAAGGAAGAATCCATCCATGAGCTAATGTCAAAACAGAAACCTCACCCATCTTTCTATTTTCCTTTTCTACAATGATAAACTGTATTTAATCAGCACTGACCCATTGTCATTTGCCATGTAGCATATTGGTAACACTTTAGATACCCTTAGTCTTCCCTTTTTAAGGCTCACTCCCTTTCTCCACCTTTCCTTTTGCCTTTTTTCTCACTAGAAAAAAAAAAAACACTCATCATTACATTATATTATACACATAAAACATTCCAACGCTCTCCAATAAGTGTCGCATTAATTTCTCCATCATTACCAAAATGGCATTCCTTCGGTTCCCCATCATCATCATGTATTTCATAGCCTCATCACTTTTGCCATCTGTAGCTTCTTATGCTTCTGGTTCTCAGCTAAATTCCGATACCCCAACAATCTCAGCTTCACCGGTATCCATGTCGGATCCCCCATTGTCCCCTTTCCTACCACTGTCACCCGATATTGCTCCTTTATTGCCATCTCCCGGTGGACTGGTGCCCACAACCGGCTCATCCATGCCCACCATCCCTTCCGTCCCGAGCCCCTCAAACTCCAACGACTTAATCCCTCTCGGCCCCGACTCTGCTTTTCCAACGTTCGGATCACCACCGGCTTCTTTCTCGTCTCCGAGACTTTCATTCCGGTCTTTACACTTGGCATCAACTTTTTGGGTTCTGGTAGTTGTACCCTATTGCTTAATGCAGCTTGTTACGGTATTGTAAATTTAATTTATTGGTTATGAAACTCTAGTCTTTTAATTTCTCATCTTCGTCTTTTTTTGTTTTGTTTATGGTACATGATTACAATGTATCTAGCTAGTTATTGTAATAAACTCTGAGATACATACGGTAGTATTTCGAGTCTAGATGATGTACCGTAAAAGTTTGGGTTAAATAAATTAGAATTAAATATATATGATTGGGAATCATGAAACATCCGTTGTTTACAATTGAAGCTTTTGTGGATGGATTGAACGACAGTTGATAGGGGCTTATCCTTTAAAAATTTTAAACTCATATGATTCAAGTATTTTTTATATTTTTTATTAATAATTTATTTTTATTCTTAAATTTTTTAAATCTATCGTTCTAACATTTTATAAATTTATTATCTTTAATATATAATCATGTTTCGGTATCTTCTTATATATGATTAAGGAAGTGGAAATTGTTATGAACAATAGAATGAACTTTATGAAACAGACCAACTAACATGAGTATCATAACATTTTTTAATTAAGACATTACATTTTAAAATAAATTTAGAGATTTGGATTTACATTCGATCAATTGATGAATCTTAAGATACGATAACACTTTGAATCAGAGAAAATTAAATGAGTACTCGAAAGAGATTAATATCGAATTATATGTATAACATGATACGAAGTAATCATTAGAAATGCGAATAACTGACCGATCGATTTGATGACCACATGGGTTTTGTGCCTTGAACCATGTGAGACACACACCAAATGACCACACTCTTTGGTGTCTTTTGTTTTATTCGAAGAATCCGTCACATGTTGGTTGATCATGCTTTACATACCATACTGGTGTTTAGGTGAACCTGTTTTTGCCTGATTTGAGACTGACTTGTAATCTAATTCCTAAATTGGGTCTCTTTTTCTTTGGATTGGGCTTGGATGAGGTCATTTTGAATCGGCTCTATATTTGGATTAATTTTATTCGGGTCAAATCAATTTTTGGTCGGATTGGGTAGCGGGTCAAGTTAATTTTTGGGTGGGTCAAATTTTGGGTCAGGTGACTATCGGATCAATTATTTTTCGGTTCAAATCAATATTAGATCGATTGATTTTTGGGTCGGATTAATATAAGATCGGTTAGATTTCGGGTCGGGTCAATATCAGATCGATTGATTTTCGATTTGGGTCAACATTTGGATCAGGTCAATTCAGATTGAATTAGTTATGAGTCTAATCAAGTATATATAGAATTATTGATATATTCTTGTAAAAATATGTCTTATTGTTTGTTAATCTTATCATTTAGACTTAACTCGGTTATAAGTCTAATTAAGTATATATAGATTTTCGGTTTAGATTGCTTTCATTTCGGATTAATTTTGGATCGAGTTAAATTCGGTTCGGGTTAAATTCGATTCGAGTTAAATTGGATATTGGTTCATATTGGGTCATCTAAATTTTGCATCGAGTATGGTTTAGGTTTCAGATTAAATTTGATCATCATGTTTGGGTTAATATCGAGTATTGGATCGAGTAAATCAATTCAAATAATCGGGTTTGGATCAAATTTATCAAGTCTACTCTTTCTTATTCATTTATTTATTTTTAGACCACGTTATTTACTTTCAAATCTGATAATCTTAAATACGATACAAAGTTATGATATGAACACAATATCAATGTAATAATAGAATATGTTTAATTACGCTTAATATATATTTAATACACTATAATTTCTTTACAATCGTTTATGATAAATAAAATTGTTAAACATTAAACTCAATATAACGTTATTAAACAATTTCTGAGTGTTGTTATGACACATTTCTAGAGTTTTGCCCTTTAATTTATCTTGTTTAGTCGACGACTGAAGTTAAAAGTGGTCTTGTTCAGTTGTTCTAGGTTATCAACGGTGAGTATGGCGGATCTAGAGCATACATCGGAGGGCTTAAACTTGGAAGAAGAAGAGGATGTCCCTATCAGATTGGAATAGAATCTGACAAATCGTTTGGAAACTGTTTGGTAGGGCTGTTCTTAACAACTAGTCAACTTAACTTTCAGGCAATGCCATCCACGCTAGCCAACGCAACATAACGTTAGAGCGTGTTTTGACACATCAAATGCTACAACTATTATCGAATGGAAGCATTTTACGTCTATATTTTCACGTCAGCAATTCTAGCTTTTGAATCTAATTTGCACCCTGGTCTGTCTTTCCTTCTTGCGTTGTAGCACTTTGAATTTTTTTTTTTTTTTAGTACAGGTGATTGATTATAATGTAGTATTTGTTCAGACCTAATCGATAAAATACACGCCCACAACTGCTCAAACCCCTACCTTCCAGGGAGAACAACATTTCCTTTTTCATAACAGCATTATTGGACGTCGGAAAGTCCCTTCTTGCTGCTTGCAAGTGTAGACGTCCCACTTGCACCGATCATATCATCTCTTTACAGGAAGAGGATGTCTCAAAGGGCAGGCATGCTTATGTTGGGAAATTGAGGTAAGCAGTGATATATAACCAACAAAATTATATAGATTAGTTCTTTGATTTACCATATCTTGCAGTCTCAAATCTTTATCCTTTTTTTCCCCTTTCGGGAAGATCAAATTTTTTAGAGACCAAGTTCGCCATCTTTGATGGACAACCTCTCGGTGGCGCAAAGATGGCTAAAAGTAGGTCCTCTAGGCTAGCAAATTTGAAACAAGTTCCACCTGGTAGTCCCTTTTGGCAACCATCCAATGGCTCAAATTTCATATGAGTTGAATACTTTTGGTTCGAGGTAAGAGTTGGCCATTATTTTGATCAAATATTTGATCATTTCTTCTTATTCATGGCAATAATTGATCCATTATTATTATTAGCTTATGCATTATTTTGATCAAGTATTTGATCATTTCTTCTTATTCAAGGCAATAATTGATCCATTATTATTATTAGCTTATGCATGAATCTATAATCTATGATCAGAAACGATTACAAGATAATATCATAGTCGTTCAAATCTAGAATTTTTATAAAGAATACTTCTTTTTACCATTAAGAAAAGAACGATTCTAACCACTAAAATCAATTAACTTTTGTTACATTTAAAACCCTGGAAATGAGAAAGTGATGTCTTAAATACAAGACATGGCACCATTTTGTAACTTCGACAAATGATTGCTCATCCAACTCTTGATGTTGAGCTCTGATGTAGCGAGCTACTCACCAGGAGGCAATCATACAGTCAAGTCATCATATGCACATCATTGCTCCATTCTTTTCTCTCTTAAATACAATATAAAGATATATTAAAGGATATTTCCAAGGTCTTCTTTAAGAAAATAAAATATTTGCTTAGATGTATACAGAACTTAATCAAATAGTACAATCTTCTCCCCATTCAAGATTCTGTGTACTTACAAGAATACAATATACACATACATATATGTTCTTTGACCTCTTGCTACCTAAGCTGTCTGCAAGTGGATGCTGGGATCTGAACTCGTTTCTACAGATCCGGTGGCTTCTCCCTCTTCTGAGGGCAAATCATCTGCATGCAATTCAGGTTGTTTAAGGCTTCTGACAAACTCGGTGAATGACGGAAAATGCTCCGGTGAGAAAAAATGAGCTCCCATTCTCTGATAAGTGAATAGGTCAACTGGATTCTCACCCAACATGTTTTTCTTGATCTGCTCTAAACCACCAGAGGCCAGGTTCTGCCCGGCAACCTCCACCCCGTGCTTGTTGCAAGTTGTTCGGATGTGTGCAAGTAGTGATTCAGGGCTTGAGAGAGACTCGTGTGGCTGGTGCTCATCCGACAGGTCCATTCCTGGCAAGATGATTTTGCATGAATTCCTTGCAAACATTTCTGCAACTGCTTCATAGCCATTTCTTGAGGCAGTGTTGTAGAAGCCGGCTGTCAGTTCAGAAGGGTGTGCCCGGGTTTTGTACCAAGAATGCATTAGTGGGACTTTCCCGTAAACATCGGCTTCGGAATCACCAAAAATTGAAGAGGCAATAGAGAGGAGGCGATTTCCATGAGATACAAGCTCACTCGAGTACCAGGAAAGGAAGAAGTCGCCATAAGGACTTTCCCAAGACCCACAGTGATCGTTGAAGAAGTTATTTGGTGTATGATCATAAGTAGGGGCATCATGTGGACCACCTAGTCCCCATAACGGATTTCCACTTGCTTCAGCATGTTGCTTAAGAAGGTTAAGCATGTTTGTGTCGTAACATTGGAACTCCCCGACACCAGTAATCGTGCCACTCTTGGCAGGTTTGTGGTGAGAGGGATATCGGAGGTCACCATCTGGCCCGAGACCCATCGAGATTCCCTGGAAAACCACAAATCAGACGCCATTAAAAAACCATACCAAAACAGGGTCTATGGCTGGCTTAACCAAGTTATTCAACAGACAAAAACGTCTTACCGTGATTGTAGATCCGATGAAAGGTGAGAATGTGGACTTAAAGCTCTCACAAAAGTCCCGGTAGACTTGAATTGGAGTCTTTCCATCAAGAACAGGAAGATCATCAACAGCCAGTGATAGACATTCTCGATAATGCTTCCCTGACCGATCCGTAAAGAAGATACTCGATTGGTATTCCCCAATCTTCATTACCCATTTCGGAAGTGGAATTCTCGGTTGAATGGAGGCGTGAAAGCAGAGTGATACATGAAGCTTCAGACCCGCTTTCTGAACCATCTCTGTAACAGCAAGATAACCTGACCAGTCATATTTTCCCATCTCCTCATTCTCGACAACTCCCCACCAGACAGGCAATTCAACACCTTCCACACCCAAAAGCTTCAAAGCTTTCAGGCCGGCTCCGATCGCCCGTGCATGGTTTACTGTATTGCCATCTGATACCGCATCGAGAGGCAGACCGACGAATAGTCTTAACCTATCAAGCTGAAAAATGAACCAAAATTCGTGCAATCAGCATTGATATGAAAAAAAAAAGTTAAATTTCTTCGCACTTTACCAACAAATAATGTGCAAATATTAAGGACTAGATATGTAATTAAGTGGTTTGATTGACAAAATTGAAAGATTGGTTATTAAAATAAAATCCGCACAAGTGGTCGTATGTGTAATTCACCCTGAAATATATGATTTTTTTTCTAAAATCTACCCAAAACACAGCTCAAAATCCTCCAAACACAGCTTAAACAAAGCTTAAAATCCTCCAACTTCATCAATTTAAAACACGCAAATCAAGCCAATTATCTACTTTTTTAACAATAAAAATCCCAAATTTGGGGGAGGAGGAAAAAAGGGGAAACTTACAGATTTGGAGCTTGTAGAAGACTTGGCTTTAAGAATGGGTTCAGAGTGGACAGCTTTCACCGTAAATCTGAGCCGAGCTTTTCTCAACCTCGAAAATTGAGTATCAAAAGAAACCTTGTTTGGTTTTCGAGCAAATATTTTGTTTTTCTCATTAGTTTTCCCAAAACAAGACCTTAAATCCCTGCACCCTAATTCTGTTTTACAAACTTTTGCCTGTGAAGAACTCGTTAGCGAAACCTCCATTTCCACTGAAAACTCGAACTAGAAATACCTTCCAGAGGCTTTTCTCTTTTGGATCTAACAAAGAATAGCCAAACTAAAAATCAAAGCTTTAACGAGGATTTACACAGAAAACTCTAGAAAAGAGGGGAATTTGGTTGGATTGAAAAGAGGGTTGTTTCCTGTGGTGTACTTGAGAAAATTGATGTGGGTTTGGATCCCTTATATAAAAGGCTGCTAGCGAAAAACAACAAAAATGATGGGTATCTGCCACGCGTAAACCTTATAGTATGCCAGCGCATAATCCCTTTTTCTTTATCTATTTACGTTTTTATAAAAAATATTTATCTGTTTCGGTCTATTAAAAGAATACCGTGTGTAGCAGATTCCACGGTTGAAAATATACTATTTTAAAATTTTAATTATTTTATTATTTCTTATACTACTTGCATGTAGAAGATTTACTCATTTAATTGTTTTTAATTTTAAAATTATAATTATAGTTTAAACTATATAAATTTTGAATCTATTAAATGAAATTATAATATTAATTTAAATAAACTACATGTTTAGTACCTTAATTATTAATTTTATTTTGTTGTGATCATTTAACTATTTTTTAAAATTATACATAATGTTATATTTTGATTTTATTTTAGTCATTCACTGTTAAAAAATTAGCAAAACTATTGACATGATATTTTTTATTTATCAACTATATGTGACATTATCTTATAGTGATACGTCAGCATCATTGTTATGTTTTTAATAGCGTGTGATCTAAATAAAGTCAAAATTAAATATTATGTATGATTTAGAAAACAATAGTTTGATGTTCAAAATAAAATGAAATTAATAATTGGGTACTGAATATGTATTTATCCTATTAATTTTTTATTATATAAATTATAGGTTTAATTTATATTTCTTAATTTTATTATTTTAATCTTGATAATTTAATTATATATTTCAAAAATTATAGAAGAAAAAGAATTCAAAATATCCAACTATTAAGGAAGTCAGCAAATCCATGTGCCCACTTCCCAAGCTGTCTGACATTGCTAAACTAATCAAACCCATTGTTTTTTAACCAATAAAATAAAAGAAGAAGAGAAGAAGAAAACTTTTTCATTAATTTTGTGGATGAGGTGGCTGAGTCGGTTGATATCTCCAACATTTGGTTTGGTTTTATTCACAAAATTCAATGACACAGAATTTGGATTGGGGTGCCACGTGGAAGATAAGAGGTGGTCGGTGAGGTGCTGACTCATTTCCCTGCAATGGTGTGCCCACCATTTTCAATCATAACACTTTTGGATGAAGATTTTGAATAGAACTGCGTATACGAGCTACCGGTATAATCCGCTGCTCGTACGGGTTTTAGATTTTAAAAAATAAAATTCGTTTAAATTACAGGTTTATTAATTCGGACAGTTAAACTCGTGAATTTAATGGGTATACTCGCGGGTTCTGAGGATAACATGCTTAATTTAATTACTTTTTTTCAATTTATTTTATGTTTTACGTTTAGTCCAATTCACGTTTTATGTGCATTTTAACCATAGTCAAATTTACGTTTTATATGCATTTTAGCCTAACACAATTTACGTTTTATATGCAATGAAGTCTAATTTTGTATAAATGATGTAGAAGTTCTTATAATTTGAGAATGATTTTTTGTCACAAGAAGAAACTTCTCAATTATATACTTATTTAAATGAACAAAGGTTTTCTTTAATTTACCATCAAAGTCTTTATCTTTGGCATTATTGGAAGGAGAATCAACTTAGATTCTCGGATCTTGCATTGATGGCATGTGACATTTTGAGCTATTAAATTACAACTGTTGCATCAGAATCGGCATTTAGCATTGGCTCTCGTGTTCTCAACAAATACCAAAGTTGTCTCTTTCTGGAAAATGTTCAATCTTTGATATGTACAAAAAATTGATTGTTAGGATTTGAGGTTGAAGATAAATATTACAATTTTTAATGTTTAGTAAAATTGTTTCTTTATAAATTTACTTTTAATTTCAAATTTCAAATTATTTAATATATTATGATTTTTTTATCTTATAGATGAAGTGGACAAGTCTCCGGTGATTGGAAAAATAGAAGATTCAATTACATCCAAGGATTCAAAAAATATTGAATATTATTGATGTTGATTTTATTTAGACTTATTAGTGTTATTGTGTTATTTATTTTAGACTTATTGAGACTTATTAGTGTTATGGTGTTATTTATTTTAGACTTATTGCGACTTAATGGTGTTATTTATTTACTTGTTTATCTTGAGACTTATTGCTAGATCATTTTTAATGGTGTAGTAAGTTAGAACATTATTTTTTATTGCATTTAAAATATTTAAAATTATTATTATTTAACGGGTCGCAAGTAAGCCCGTTAGCCCGCGTGTTAAATGATACGAGCCGCGAGCCTTAGAATTCAAGATCATTTCTGATTGCAGGCTTTTTAAATCACTCCATTTAAACTCGCACCGTCAAAACCTGCGGGTTAAACGGGCGGGTAGCCTGTATACCCAGCTTTAATTTTGAAACGTTTTTGTTTTTGTTTTTACTTTTTACTTTCTGAACTTTTGATTTTTATTTCTATAATCTAAATGGTTGTGTAATATCATTCAAATAGTTAGGATGTTGAAACGGTTAATTAGATCACCGTTAAATTAAATTATTATTAATTGAATTATGTAAAATTTTTCTTTTAATAGTAATTGAATTGATTTTTTTTTGAAAATATTAACTGAATCGAATAAATTTTGATTATTTCGGTCGGTTAATTAAATTAACCAAAAAAAAATATATTTTTTAATTAGATTATAATAGAGTTTTTTTATTTGGGTTAAAATTTAATTAGGTATTGATAATTTAATGAATTTAGGATAGTTAAAAAATAACTAATTCTTAACGAGTTTGAACTTAAAATATGGATTTAATATATAAAATATATTTAATATTTTGGTTAATTTGATTAATTCAGTTAATTAACTGATTTCAAACCGAATTAACTGTTAACCGAATATTGAAAAAAAAATAACCTTTTTAACTGATTAAATTAATCGAACTAATTCAATTCGATACATTAATTCAATTAAAACCAAATAATCAACACCCTACGAACATCATTTTTACTTTTTGTATTTTGTATGCAATATTCATTTATTTTGACTAAGATTTTGAAAGTTGATTGAATACACTCATTAATTATAATTGGCTTAAATGCTCGGTTACACGTTGAAGTATACTATTTGTATCGAATTATCTCTTAAAATATTTTTCGAAACGTTTTATTCCCTCAACTATAAATTGTTACATTATTTGTTCCAAATAGTTAATACTGTTAAAAATAAAATTCATAGACCAATCAGAACATATCATGTCACCTCTTAATATTTATTTTATTTATCTAAATAAATAAAATTCAAATAATAAAATAAATTAGCTAAACTACCAAGATTGTCCCTCCTATTCCCTAACCCAACATCTCTGTTTCCTTTCTCCAAGTCCAGGGTGTGAAGCTCAAAATCTTCAAAGATTGATTAAAAAAGGCTGCATTTACACCCTAAAAACCACAACTTGAAACTTAACAAAAGATATAATTTCTCAGAAACTAGCTTCATAGAATACAAATTTGTATCAAAAGCAATAAAAATCGAAGCTTTCTACGGGATTTTCCAAGTAAACAAACAAAGGGTAAGAAAAACCAACAAAGAAGAAAATGAACAAAGAATACTGTAAGTAGGAATTTCCAGTTTTCCACTCCGTTTTATTCAGATCCAAAAACAAAGGGAAAAAAAATCCTAACCTTAAAGATGAGCACACCACCACCACCAAACGCCTTAACCTTCTTCTCGGCAGAAACCAACAACCACAATTGATTGATTCTCCGTCAACACGCCTTTCCTCAACACCTTAAAGTAACAGAACTGGGTTACGTCGACCATTGGTGTCAAATCCTTGTTGGCCTTTTCATTCCTCCTGCGTTTCCTCTATCTCCCGAATCCTTGTTGGCCCCTCTTATTCCGATTCTTCTTGAAACAAGTTGTCGTTGTTGTGTACTCGAATAGGTGTAGATCTTTGGGAGGGGGAAGAAGGTTATACCTTGTAAAAAACACAGGTGTTGGATTAGGGAAAATGAGTGATGTTACGGGGAAGAGAGGAAGGGGCAATCTTGGTAGTTTAGCTATTTAATTTTATTATTTTATTTTTATTTATTTAGATAAACAAAATAAATATTAAGAGATGATGTGGCATGTTCAGAACAATGTATGTGATATATGTATATGATGTGTGATATGAATTGCATGATATGATATATGTGTGATAGGGGTTATGGTATCTGTTACATAATATACATGAATATGTTGATGTATATGTAATTGAGTTGTATAATTTGATAGCATAAAACAGTCATGCATGATTAGTGGGTATGAATTCCATTGGATGTGTTTTCTTTATGCCTCACTAAGTCCTCGACTTAGCGTGTGAGTGTTTCACACGCAGGTTACAGAAAGTGAATATAGAAGCTGTGAGGAGCAATACAGGTCAGCATCTCCCTTACAAAATTTCAGATCAGAAAATAGATGATTTAAATGTTTTTGGTTATTTTGAGTATAGTTGGCATGTACTAATTGGTTGAATTAAGTATGCTCTGATTGATTTTGGTTATGGTGGTCAGTTTATGTAACTAAACCGCTTTTACTTTAATGAAATGTTTAAATTTTCTTTAAATTTTGTCAAGAGTCAAAGTTTGAAAAGTCAACGTGACACCTCATACTTGTATCCGGGTCGGATATGGGTTGGGGGTGTTACAATCAACGTCCTCAAATCCACTATTCTATTTGCGAGGCACATAGATAACAATATGAGAAGAAGAATCAATATATGCCTCAAACTCAGGAAGTCGAACCTTGAAAAATACCTAGGGGTCCCTCATCCGAGGAAGAGTGAGCAAGACGCTCTACCATAATCTCTTCTAGAAAGTTCACAATCACCTATCTAGGTGGAAAACGAAATCCCTCTCCTTAGCGGGAAGTAGCCCGTTTCTGAGATTTTAGTAGCACGGGACGAATATAAAATTAGGCCTCTAATAATAAGTATCGAAAAAAATTGAATTGTAAGAGCAAGAATAAATAAATAAATAATTTGTTTGTAAATTATT